ATGCCGCAATGCGATAGCAATCAGTAGGTTTGGCTCCTGGTGTGAATTATACTGTTGGGTATGCTGAAGACTCCGGTGTATTTCAGATTTGATTGGAATTTGCTATTGAGATCAGACGAAGTGCAAAGAATCCTGGTGATCTCATCAGTTCGGAGTGTCTCTGAGGTTTCATCTTCTTGGATATGGTAATGCTCCAGTTGGGGAATGGGGGTAGATCCGGCTGGATATGCATCAGCTATAGGCAGGTTTGGGGATTAGAATGTCCTGCCTTTCAGGTTTTGGGTACCTGGGGGGCTGGACCAGTCGGGAGACTGATGGTCTCAGCAATAAGTGGAAGAATCTTTTCACCCAGGATAACAAGGGATGCTAAGATAGGGCATCCCGATTCTTCAGGCTCTGATAACTTGGTTAGATCTTGCTCCATATTATGTAGGGCAACACTTCGTGTTAGGGAGGTTGAGGCGGTCCTGCTTGATGCAGTAGGCCAAGATACCCGGTGCGGACCGACGGTGAGTCGCAGGCACGAAAGGTTAAGGAGAAAAAGCAGAATTGGGGCAGAAGGTTGGCGGACCAGGATGGTCCGGGTAGATTGAAGGCCTGGTAAGGTGGTGCAGTCAGGTCAACGCCCGACGAGCGGTCCGGGAAGGCTGTAGGCCCTGCGAGGCGGTCCAGTCATGCCGAAGGCTCGGTGTACCCTAGTTTGGTAATATATGGAAGCATTAATTGTCATAGCAGCGGGTAATCTGTGGTTCTATTTCTGGTGGGAATCCCCGAATTATCAGGAGTTGGTTAAGTAGTCTAAGGGATCAGTGGAATGGAAATGACAACGAATCAGTAGATAAGGCCTGTCAGGAAGGCATACCGGTTTCAAGATTTCAGATTTTAGAGTTCAAGAGAGGTGAAATTGGTTATTTCGTGAGGTTATGAATTGAGTGTCTTCAAGGTAGTGAATTATGTTGGATTGTCCCCTTGGGAAACCATTATGAGTTCGAGTGGTGGAGGTGCCCCTCAGGATGTCGGGTTGTCAAGGACGGTAAGGAATGATTTCGAGGACGAAATCGAATTTAAGTGGAGGAGAGTTGTAACATCCCAAGTTTTGTCATTGGTGGTCCATGGGAGGGAAGGGTAAAGTCATGAAGAGCCTAAGGGCTAAAATTGTAATTTTGGACCAGGAGGAGTACGTTGCGCGTACATAAGGGTATGCTGGGCGTACACTTGTGTACGCTTGGCGTACTCATAAAAGATGGAAACCCTAATATTTGGAGTTGGGGGCTATATAAACATCCTTATGGTTCATTCCCTCTCATCACTCTCAGCCCCTATCTTCCAGAAACATCCCCAAACCCTAGTTCTTGTGTGAGAGTGTGAGATAGTGTGCATTTTTGAGCTCTTGAAGGTGAAGACATTACATAAAGGAGTTGGAGAAGGAGATTGGCTTGTAGATCTGAAGTTGGTTTGTGTTCAAGAAGCTCCAGAAGGTAAAAAGCTTGGAACTTTATACTTGTATGAGCTAGATCTAGTCATTTTAGCTTTATGAAAGCATTCTTGTCCCAAAAGTCCCAAAATGGTGCATGTCATGATTTGGACGAGATGAGATGTCCTTTCCGGCTCTTGAAGGGGTTATGAGTGTTAAAAATGAGGTCCCAATGACTTAAGGTGTCCCATGCATGTATTAGGAAGGTCTTAATGGATTAAGACATTAGATTAAGAGCTTTCTGGACGTCCAAAGTGATAAAGTTCGAGACTTTATGAGTCCTAGGCATGTTTGGTCGATGGATCTGAAGTTTGGGCTTAAGTGCTTAAGCCATTAAGCACTTATGAGAATTTTTGGTTCAGCTCGCGTACGCCCCGCGTAGGTAGAAATACGCCCCGCGTACCGGGTCAATGGCCCGTTTTCCAGTCAACATGAGTCGAGTTACGCCCCGCGTACCAGAGGAGTATGCCCAGCGTACGTCCTCTATTGGGCTTTTGATTTTAGGCTGTTTTTGGGCTAGCTGGACTTGGTCCTCGACTGGACAATATGGATATGGTGTTTTGGGCCAAGCTTTGATATTGGATCTTGGATTTAGGCCCAATTAGGCGGTTGGGCCCAATTTGGAAAGTTAGGCCAATGATGGGCCTTGTTATATGGACTTATGGATCATGGGTTGGGTATTGGGCCTTGGCCCAAATTAGAGGGAAGACAAATTGAACTATTGTTATAAGGAATTCTTGGTCAAAAATTATATTCCCGTTTATTGACTTCTTATTCGCTATTTTGGATAGTTCGGGATTGTCGGTGAGATGGTGGTTCGGGAATCTGCTTCTTCGGTTCAGATCGGCATTTCGAGGTGAGTTATCCTCACTTTATCAACAGGGTCTAAGGCACCAAGGCCGGCCCTTTCTCGGATTGTATACTGGTATTTCCTTGATATGCTTATTGATATTTTAGATCGGCGTCCTGGTAGTTAGGACGGTATTATGTTTAGTGACCTGGTTTAGGTCGGTATCCTGGTATAGAGGATGATGTTATGTTTAGTGACATGTTTAGGTCGGTATTCTGGTTAGGATGTTGCCATGCTATATGATCTGTTAGATCGGTTTGTTTATATATGGACTGTTATGTGATTATCTGTTTATGTGCACATGATTGTTTGGTATGGGGGTTGGGTTGATGCGGGTCCTGATTTGTGCTGTAGGCCAACATACCCAGGGCGGACCGGATAGACTGCAGACCCGGGAGGGCACATAGTCAGGCCGAAGGCCCGTCGAGCGGTCCGGATAGGCTGAAGGCCCCGCGAGGGCGGTCCAGACGTGCCGAGGCTCGGAGAGTGGGCCAGATAGACTGAAGGCCCGACGCGGGCAATCCAGTCATATTGTAGACTCAGAGAGTGGACCAGGTGAACTGAAGGCCCGGTGCGGGCGGGCCAGTCACTCTGTAGACTCGACATGCATGGTTGTTCTGTGTTTGTTATATGATACGTTATGGTTGTATGAGGTTGGTATTTTGGGGGTAACTCACTAAGCCTTCGAGCTTACATTTATCGATTATTGTTTTAGGTTCGGCGGATGACCGCGGGAAGGCGAAGGCGTGACCGTACACTTTCCTCGATTTATGATTATGATTTCTGGAAACTCTGATATGAAACTGTTTTGGAAACCTTTTTGTAATAACTATTGGTATTTTAAATGTTTTAAAAGTTTAAATTTGGCATGAATTTTATGGGTGTTACATCAAGCCACCGACGCTGCCTCATATTCAGATTTGGCTGGCCCATGAGATACCTCAGGCTCTTGTGGTCCGTGTAAATAGTACAACAAACCCCATAGAGGTAATGACGCCAAATCTTGAGGGCGAAAACAACAGCCCCCAACTCTAAATCATGCGTCGGATAATTCGCCTCGTGAGGCTTCAACTGCCTCGAAGCGTAAGCGATAACATGCCCTCTCTGCATCAATACCGCGCCCAAACCTGAGATGGACGCATCGCATTATACAACAAAATCCTCCATGCCCTCCGGCAGGGCTAAGATTGGCGCCTCACACAATCTCTGTCTCAATGTCTCAAACGCAACCTGCTGCTCAGGCCCCCAGCGAAAGACCACGTCTTTCCTCGTCAGCCTGGTCAGGGGCACGACTATCTTGGAGAAGTCCTGAATGAATCTCCGATAGTAGCCTGCCAGTCCCAGGAAGCTCCGAATCTCAGATGGAGACCTCGGAACCTCCCACCTCATCACGGCCTTCACCTTGACCGAATCAACCGAAATCCCGTCCTGGTTGACAAGGTGCCTAAGAAACCGCACCTCGCGCAACCAGAACTCACACTTGAAGAACTTAGCATACAAGCTCTCCCTCCTCAAAGTATCCAAAACCTCCCGTAAGTGCTCCTCATGCTGCTCTCGCGTCTTGGAATAAACCAAGATGTCATCAATGAAAACTATCACAGACCGACCCAACATCGGTCGGCACACACGGTTCATCAGATCCATGAACGCGGCAGGGGCATTGGTGAGCCCGAAAGGTATCACCACAAACTCGTAGTGACCATAACGTGTCCGAAATGCAGTCTTCTGCACGTCCTCCTCTCTGACCCTCATCTGATGATATCCTGATCGCAAATCAATCTTGGAGAACCAAGATGCTCCCTGTAGCTGGTCAAAGAGGTCATCAATCCTCGGGAGTGGGTAACGGTTCTTCACCGTTACCTTATTCAGCTCCTTATAATCTATACACATCCGATGCGACCCGTCTTTCTTCTTCACAAACAGAATCGGGGCTCCCCAGGGTGAACTGCTCGGTCTAATGAATCCCTTGTCTAACGGCTCCTGCAACTGTGTAGACAACTCCTGCATCTCAGGAGGAGCCAACCGATACGGTGCCTTGGCTATCGGAGCCGCACCAGGGACTAGGTCGATCCTGAACTCTACCTGCCTCTCCGGAGGTATCCCATGCAACTCCTCGGGGAATACATCCGCAAACTCTCGTACCACGGGCACATCGCCCATCGTCGCTTACCCGCCTCCCGGGTATCCATAACATAGGCGACAAATCCTGCGCAACCCTGCTGAAGGTAGCGCCTAACTCTCGCTGCTGAACATAAAGCTGGTCCTCGCTGTGGCCTCTCGCCCTGAATCACCAGCTCTCCCCCACTTGGGGTGATCCGCAATGTTGCGGGTAATGTTATCTCCGACGTATTTACTTGGTGCAAATGGTACAAATACAAGGCAATATGAGTTTTTATATTTCTTAATGCTCGTCTAAGTTTTGTTATTTTCCTTTTTGTTCATACTTTGCCTTTGCGTGGCTCCTGCTACTTTTGGCCTCTTTGTTTTTATTTATTTATATTATTTGCTGCTTAAAAAAAATAGTAGGATGGTTAACTAATGCGTTTAGTAGAATTTAGTCGTGTTCAGGTAGTATTTTGTTTAAATTTAGTTAAGACGTGGCAAAATGTGATTGGTGCTAATGACGGGTAAACCGTCATTTACATAAGGTTAGTAGTGCTACTGTTATAAACGCACGCCAAGAAAACAGAAGAAACAGGAGAGACGGCAAGCACCACAGATTCGGGTCTCCGGATACAAAATCCCCTTTAGATCACAGCCTAACCCTAGAAACTCAAAATCCCCCTTTAGATCTCGAGCTACTCTCTTGATTAATCAGCAGTCGAATCAAAATGGGCACATCGGCGTGTGTAAAGGAAGTGGATAGATCGGCATTGGTGGCGTTTGCCCCCGATGCGCCCTTCCTTGCCGCCGGAACTATGGCTGGAGCCGTAGACATGTCGTTCAGTTCGTCTGCAAATCTTGAAATCCTTAACCTTGATTTCCGATCTGATGATCGTGACCTTCCGGTATCAGGTGCTGTACCTAGTTCAGAACCGTTTAATCGGCTGTCTTGGGGGAAATCACCGTCGTCGGGATCAGAAGAATTCTCACTCGGTCTCATTGCCGGTGGACTTGTAGATGGCAACATCGGTGTCTGGAACCCTCGCTTACTCATGAGGTACGCTACTATTAACGATGCACTTCATTGTAGCTGGTCAGATTGCAGTCGTTTACTGAACTTGGTTGAGTCTTACATTAGATTGTGCTTCTTTGCTTCCGAATCCGAGGGAATTGTTTGTATGAACTTCTATTATGTCATTGAGAATGTTGAATGATACGATTACTTGTAGCTCAGCTCCTACAGGATAACACACTCCCAATTCCACAAAACTGTTATATTATTTGCTATACTATGTTCTTATATTCATGAAAACCTCATTATTATTTATTTTCATTGATTCTAGTCCCGAGGAAAGGGAAAATGCTCTTGTTCAACAACTATCAAGACACAAAGGGCCTGTGAGTTTTATTTTTCGTTCGTGGGATCTAACATTCACTGACACTTAAAATAAACCGTTATTGAAAGGTTGTGCATCATATCTGTTTTTTCAGGTTCGTGGTCTGGAGTTTAGTTCCCTTTCACCAAACCATCTTGCATCTGGCGCTGAAGAAGGTGAAATTTGTATATGGGATTTTGCTAACCAACAGAACCTACACATTTTCCTCCCCTTAAGGTAACAACGGCTTTACTACATTTTCATTATCTAAATTTTGATCTAAATTTCACATGGCAATTTCTTATTAATATTATTATATGTGAGCTGCATCTTGTATATAAAAAGTAGAAAAAATCCAGTATTTTTCTCTTAATTTGTTTTATCCCCTGCATTCCATCCATGGCCTTTTGCTTATAGACTAATAGTAGAAATCTGATTACAAGTATAGGTGGTATTTAGTTATATGCCTTTCAACATAGCAAACTGAGTTTAGTACTATTTACCTCTCTTTAGTTTCTTATGGGTCTCAATTTTTGCTTCTCATCCCGTTTATCATAAAAGATCTAGGCCCTCGTTCTTTTCCCCTACATTCATATATTGTTTTGCCAGATTAAAATTTTATTCCCATTAAATTCATTAAGTCATAAAGAAACCATACTTCAAATTCTGCTGTTCTCGAAGAAACCATTAAGTTCATTGAGTTCTCTATTAAATTGTTCATTTTGCACAAGTCAAAAATATTTGAGGGCAAACTTGTAAAAAGCCATTTGACATCTAAATTCTAATTAACCTGTGTCTGCAGGGCAGTGAATCTTCAACACATGGAGAAATAGCATATTTGTCATGGAATAAGAAGGTCCAGCCTATCTTGGCATCAACTTCTTTTTATGGAACAACTGGTATGGATGTGAATTACCTAAATATATTTTAGCTATCCAAATATTTATACACCCTTTTAAATCTTTTTTTGGTGGTTGTAGTGGTTTGGGACCTCAGGAAGCAAAAGCCAATTATAAGGTAATTTTATCATTTTATGCAGTGAAATTCAGATAACGAATTTCAAAGTTGGAATATGTGTTTGCAAATAATTACATCCACCAACCAATTTGATATACTTTGCAGCTTCTCAGATTCAGTTAGAAGAAGATGTTCAGTTTTGCAATGGCATCCTGATTTTGCCACTCAACTTATTGTTGCTTCAGAGGATGATAATTCACCTTCACTAAGGGTAATGATTATGAATTATGCCTTCTTTTATGCATCCATACTTTAAACTGTTAATTCTTGCAATTTACATTTGTTTTTGGCATGCAGTTATGGGATATGAGGAACACAATGTCACCATTGCGAGAGTTAGTAGGTCATACTAAAGGTATACTGCTTTCTTTCTTACTTAATGCAGAAATAAACAACTTAAAAAAGAAACTCAGGAAATGATTTTTCTTCCCCAATTAAGTCTCAACTTTTTACAAATTGCTTTCATTTGTGTTTTCCTTCAACTTCTCCAAGTGTACCTTCATTTTCTCAAACATCATTTATCCAAGACATCACTTTAAAAAAAGGCCTTAGAGGGTGTTTGGGATTTCACTTAAAAATAACTTATTGACTATTGGCTTTTTGAAAAGTCAATAAGTCAAAAAAAGTGTTTGGAAATGTGAAAATGACTTTTAAAATAACTTTTCATCAACTCTTTAAAAAGGAGATTTCAATAAGTTAGGATTTCTAACTTATCAAAACTCCTTATAGCTTTTTGGGTTGTAAAAGGTAAAATACCCCTTAAAAGATGTTAAGTTAAAACAAACACTTTTTAAAAAATAACTTATTGACTTTTCCCACCACAAAAGCTAATCCAAACACTTTTTTTTTTAAAAAAAAAACTCCTTTTCCTACAACCATAAGTCAATAAGTCCTTTTGAGTTTCAAAAAGAAAATTCCAAATATAATAGAAGCCTATGCTTTGAATATTGTATATAATTTTCTCATACTCTTTTAATCTGTGATTCACAATAAAATGATATAACAGGTGTTGTAGCAATGGAATGGTGTCCTCATGATAGTTCATATCTGCTTACATGTGCCAAAGATAATCGCACTATTTGTTGGAACACTAATTCTGCTGAGGTATGTAGATCTTTTTTTTTAGTTAAGTTATTTTTGTTACAATATTTACTAAACATTTTAAAATGGTATTTCAACTTTTCAGATTGTGTCTGAACTTCCAGCTGGAACCAATTGGAATTTTGATGTGCACTGGTATCCAAAGTTACCAGGGGTCATATCAGCATCTTCTTTTGATGGAAAAATTGGTATTTATAACATTGAGGTTTGTTATTTTCCTCCTATTCAATGTTCTTATGTTTCATAATTGTTTGTTTGTATTTTGAGATTTATGAAAAGCTTATATTTGTTCTTTAATTCATGTAGGCTTGTGCTCGATATGGTGTTGGTGAGGGTCATTATGGCTCAGGTAACATGCTTCTTCATGCTTGATTTCATTCGTTTCTATTAAAAGACCAAAATACCCTTTTTGCTATTGAAATAAATAGATGCATCTTTTCTATTTATGGAATGGAATGGGATTCAATAATTCAAATTGACTCATATAATTACATTTAGAGAAATCAATATCCTCCTACAATTTCTTCCTACTTATCCTCCTATTCATTAGATCAAGACAAGTGTCAAAATAAAGAGATGGGATTAAGAGAGAGAATTAATGATATCCACATGTCATAATGTTATATGAGTTGGAGGATAATTAGGAAGAAAAGTTACGAGGATATTTAATATTTCTCATATTTATAATTAATTGTCTTATATATGTTCAATATACATAATTAAATTATAATATTTTTTATTGTTTTCAATATATACAATGAGGGTATTTTGGTCTTTTAATAAAAACGAATGAATCTAAACTCCTTCCACCCAGCCAAACAAATATTTCGAAAGATTCTAACAGATTTGAATTTTGTAAATTTGGCAACCAAAAACCATGGAGTGGAATCTCGAATTCCAATTTCATTGGAATCCACTAACCAAAGATGCCTTTATTTCCCCTTATCTTTGGCTTTTAAAACACACCATGTAATGGAATCTCGAATTCCAATTTCATTGGAATTCACTAACCAAAGAAGCCTTTATTTCCCCTTATCTTTGGCTTTTAAAACAAACCTTGGAATAGAATCTCGAATTCCAATTTCATCAGAATGCACTAACCGAAGATGCCCTAATTTCCCCTTATCTTTGGCTTTAAAACACACCATGGAATGGAATCTTGAATTCCAATTTCATCAGAATCCACTAACCGAAGATGCCCTAATTTCCCCTTATCTTTGGCTTGTATATTTTTATGCTTCTGAGTTTTGGTGTTCTTTTTTCCCCTTACTTGTATATTAAATGCCGGTTTTTATATATTTATAATTTCTGTGCAGCACCTTTAAAAGCTCCAAAATGGTACCAACGCAAAGCTGGAGTGTCTTTTGGTTTTGGTGGGAAACTCGTTTTCTTTTCACACAACTGGTTCTTCATCTGGAGCTTCAGAGGTAATTCCACTGCCTTTCTCTTTTGCAAATTGTGGGAAATAGCAACATACTTTGCCTCTTTAAACAATATGGCCATTGCATATTGATTTTAACCATATTGGTAAAAACTGAAGTCTGCATACTCACATTGGTAAAAAAGGCAAACTGTGTTTTGCTATTTTTCATAATTTCCCTGTTATTTTTAGCTTAACAGTTTTTTTTCAATACTGTTTTCAGGTTGATGTGCATGAGTTGGTTACTGAACATAGTTTAGTTAGCACCTCATCTGAATTCGAAGCTGCAATGAGTAGTGGAGAGAGGCCTTTATTGAGGCAACTGTGTGACAAAAAATCTCAAGAATCTGAGTATGTATTCTTAATAAATCACAGATTTTTCTCATTCTGAATAAATTTTAGGGTATCTTATTTGGTTCTTGGAATCCGCCAGAATTGGAATTTGATATTCCATTCCATGACTTGCCTTGGATTCCTTCAATTTTCGTGTTTGATGGATTTCACCATCAGAGTTCAATGGCATTAATAGACCAAAATACCCTTATATATTGAAATAAAAAAAATCAGAGTGTTTTGGTTTTTTTATTTTAATATATATTATGAGGGTATATTGGTCTTTTAATGGCATTGAATTCTGATGGTGAAATCCATCAAACACGAAAATTTGAAGGAATCCAAGGCCAACCAAACATGTCATGGAATGAAATATCAAATTCCAATTCTGGTCTTTTAATATATTACCAGGGTATTTTGGTCTTTTAATGGAACATCAAACACGAAAATACCCTCATAATATATATTGAAATAAAAAAAATCAGGGTATTTTGGTTTTTTTTGTTCATTATATATTATGAGGGTATTTTGGTCTTTTAACCGAGTTGAATTCTGATGGTGGAATCCATCAAACGCGAAAACTGAAGGAATCCAAGGCAACCAAACATGTCATGGAATGGAATATCAAATTCCAATTCTGGTCTTATAATATATTACGAGGGTATTTTGGTCTTTTAATAGAACATCAAACACGAAAATACCCTCGTTAAATAAAAAAATCAGTTATATATATTTACAAAAACATTTTGTTGAATTGTCAAAAACAGATCTGAAGATGACAGAGAAACATGGGGATTCTTGAAGGTTATGTTTGAAGAAGATGGAACTGCACGTACAAAACTATTAAACCATCTTGGTTTCACTCTACCTTCAGAAACACAAAACAATGAATTACAAAACAACCCCTCTGAAGAAATAACAACTTCCCACATTGATGAACCTAAAGAAGAAGTAACAGAATCCAACCTGACACTGAAATTACCAAATGACCCCTCTGACAACGGGGAAGATTTCTTCAACAATTTTCCAACTCCTAGAGCTGAGACCCCTTCATCAACTTCTCACAACACTTTTGTCACTGAAGAATCTGTTCCAGTTGTTGAAGAAGAAGAAGAACAAACGAGAGAAAGTGATTCACAAGATGCTTTGTTTGATGATGGTGTTCAACGTGCATTGGTTGTTGGGGATTACAAGGGAGCTGTTGAACAATGTATAGCTGCAAATAAGATGGCAGATGCTTTAGTTATTGCTCAAGTTGGTGGTGCTTCCCTGTGGGAGACCACACGTGATCAGTACCTTAAAAAGAATACTTCTCCATACTTAAAGGCATGTTTTTCTTCTCTTTCTTTATACTTTATGTGTTGTTTACCTTTAATTTAAGAGCTAAATGCAAGAAATATCAACATAGTTTAATGTTTTTGTGTATTATAGCATTCTACTTTCATTTATTTCAAAGGTTGCAAAAGTAATAAGAATTAGAATGTAGATAAAATAGGGTTTTATGTAGAAAAGAGAAAAGTCCAATTATTTTGGAAAAATCACATAATCTGTCGTTTCCTATTAAATTAAAAAAAGAGTAAATTACATGAATGGTCCCTATGGTTTAGGGTAATTTGCGTGTTTGGTCCGTAACTTATTTTTTTAACTCGGAAGGTCCTGTTTGTTTTTGTAACGCACTTGGTCCCTGTCTTACCTAAAAAGACTATTTGGCCCTTGATTTTTTAATTTATTTAAATAAACACACCCCCAACCCCACCCCACCCCCCTCACCTTACCTTACCCACCCCACCATTTTTCCCTCTTTAGATAATAGTCTTTTTAGGTAAGACTGGGACAAGCGCGTAACAAAAACAAACAGTAGGGACCTTCCGAGTTAAAAAAATAAGTTAGGGACCAAGCGCGCAAATTACCCAAACCATAGGAACCATTCGTGTAATTTACTCTTAAAAAAGTGATTTTTTGTTAATTTGGGCAAAATGTTAAATAACCGCGACTTTTCTATTAAAAAAAGATTTAGGACTTTATCAAAAACTTTCCCAAAATAATGGGACTTTTTTGTATAAAACCTGATAAAATGAGGACATTTTGTATTAGTTTTGACTTTTTGTCCAAGTAGACGCGTTTGACCAAACCAATCTTTTGGCTGATTTTCTAAAATCCTACAAAATCACCATCTACCAATTTTTTACAACTTCTGTTTCTATTAATGTTTGTACTTCCGATTTTTTCTTATGAAGACACACTTTGAAAATTATAGCCAATTATAGCATTCTACTTCCATTTTTTTTTATTAAAAAAATTATTTTTTGTAAAGTCTACCCAATTATAACAATGAAACATTGAAACTTTCTTTGTATTGGGTTGATTCTTAAAACTAGAGCTGTAATAGAAAAAAAAAATGGAAAATGAATGTTATAGTTAACAAATCAATGAAAGTACAATGTTTTTTTTTCTTCTTTGTTGTTTATTAAATCACAGATTTTATAGTTTCTACTTTTAAGTGCATTAGTTTATTAATTTTATCATTTTCTACTTGACAGGTTGTTGCTGCAATGGTAAATAATGACCTTGTTAGTCTAGTAAATATCAGGCCCCTCAGATCTTGGAAAGAAACTCTTGCTCTCCTCTGCACTGTAAGCTAATAAAATAACTTACAATTCTGAAAAATCAGTGATAGTAATTACTTTTTTACCCCTTTAATCACAGTTTGCACAAGGAGATGAATGGACTTCACTCTGTGATACTCTTGCTTCTAGACTCCTAAATGCTGGAAACACTTTAGCAGCAACTCTTTGCTACATATGCTCTGGAAATATCGATAGAACTGTAGAAATCTGGTCAAAGAAGGTGTCAACTGAGCATGAAGGAAAGTCCTATGTTGATCTTCTTCAGGTGAGAGTTTTTAATCTAATATATACATAAAATCTTTTCCTTTTGGTGAATTGGTAAAATATATAATTTATATGTATTTGAAGGATTTAATGGAGAAAACTGTGGTCCTTGCTTTAGCAACTGGACAAAAGAGATTCAGTGCTCCTTTATGTAAACTTGTTGAGAAGTATGCTGAGATTTTAGCAAGTCAAGGACTTTTATCAACAGCTATGGAGTATTTGAAACTAATGGGAACTGAAGATTTGTCTCCTGAACTTGTAATCTTACGTGATCGAATTGCCTTCTCATCTCAACCAGGTATTCATTTCATTCTGCTTCCCAACATTTTAAACCCTAAACCCTAGATTCTGAATGAATTTGTTTTTTGTTATTGTCTTATAGAGATAAATGGAAACGCATCTACAGATTATGCATATTCTCAAACACATACAGGATGTGTATACTCTGCTAACCAACAAACAAATCCTGTTGTGGAGCCTGTTCAAAATTATTATCAGGTATTTATGCTTTTATATTATCTAGAGTAAATTACACGAATGGTCCCTATGGTTTGGGGTAATTTGCATGCTTGGTCCCTAACTTATTTTTTTAACTTGGAAGGTCCCTACTGTTTGTTTTTGTTACGCGCTTGGTCCCTGTCTTACCTAAAAAGACTATTATTTAAAGAGGGAAAAATGGTGGGGTAGGTAAGGTAAGGTGAGGGGGGTGGGGTGGGGTTGGGGGTGTGTTTATTTAAATAAATTAAAAAATCAAGGGCCAGATAGTTTTTTTAGGTAAGACAGGGACCAAGCGCGTAACAAAAACAAACAGTAGGGACCTTCCGAGTTAAAAATATAAGTTAGGGACCAAACGCGTAAATTACCCCAAACCATAGGGACCATTCATGTAATTTACTCTATTATCTATTCACGAGTTGTATCATTATCATCTTTTTCCTTTTCTTTTTTTAATTTTTTTTTATTTAGGAAAGCTATCAACAACCACCTGGGCCTTCTTACAGTAACCAATATGAACAGCCACAACGCAACATGTTTGTTCCATCTCCTGCAGCTCCCACTCCACAGGTATGTAAATCATTGATCCTAATTCCTACATTCTTCTACTTCTTTTATTGAATGACCAAAATACCCTTTTTATATTTTTTTTAGATGGGATTCAATCAAGCTCCACCTGCAAATCAACCAGCTGCAAGACCCTTTGTTCCCATGACACCTCCAATGATGAGAAATGCTGACCAATATCAGCAAGCCCCCACATTGGGTTCTCAGTTATATCCTGTATGTATTTCTTTCCATTCCAATTCCATTCCTTGATATAAAAAAGAGGAAACTACACGAATGGTCCCTATGGTTTAGGGTAATTTACGCGTTTGGTCCCTAACTTATTTTTTTTAACTCGGATGGTCCCTACTGTTTGTTTTTGTTACGCGTTTGGTCCCTGTCTTACCTAAAAAGACTATTTGGCCCTTGATTTTTTAATTTATTTAATAAAACACACCCCCAACCCCACCCCCCTCAACTTACCTTACCTACCCCACCATTTTTCACTATTTAAATAATAGTTTTTTTTAGGTAAGACAGGCGCGTAAACAATAAGGACCAAACGCGTAACAAAAACAAACAGTAGGGACCTTCCGAGTTAAAAAAAATAAGTTAGGGACCAAGCGTGCAAATTACCCCAAACCATAGGGACCATTCGTGTAATTTACACTATAAAAAATAAGTATGATTCTAATTTCTAATTCTAACACCATGTTTATCAGCAATCTCAGTTGAATGTGAATTCCAATTATCAAGCGGGCCCACCGGGGCCCGGTTCATTTACCCCGGTCCCATCTCCAATGGTCCCCACCACCGGGCCAAAAGTACTCCATGACGTGGGACCCACACCTCCTGTAAGAGGATTCATGCCTATTAATAACAATACAGGAATGCAAAGAACAGGATCTGGTCAAATGCAACCCAACAGTGGTCCCGAGTCTGCCCCACCACCTCCTGCCACCCCTCCTCCAACAGTACAGACTGCTGACGTGTCAAATGTTCCTGGTATTGAGCTTTTCATAATTCTAATAATATTATATTCATTTAAATAATTGTGGAGACTTCTTAAATGTTTTTCACTTTCCTATTGTGGATGCTATAAGAATTATTTTTGAAAGTACAAATAAATAGAAAGACATAATTGCAAAAATGGTCCCTGTGATTTCTCATTTTATGTGGCCAAGGTCCAAGCCTTTGAAAAGCTTCAAATTTGATCCTTTTCAACAAGTTCTGTTGTGGTTTTAGTCCCTCTCTCGTTAACTTTAACAGTTTGGCTGTTAATTTTTTTGAAAATGACAATTTTACCAAACTACAAGGACCATTTCTGCAAAAATGGTCCCTGAGGGTAAAATTGTCATTTTCAAAAAAATTAACAGCCAAACTGTTAAAGTTAACGAGAGTGGGACCAAAACTCACAACTTAACTTGTTGAAAAGGATCAAATTTGAAGCTTTTCAAAGGTTTGGACCTTAGCCACATAATATGAGAAACTACAAGGACCATTTCTGCAAAAATGGTCCCTGAGGGTAAAATTGTCATTTTCAAAAAATTAAAATTAACAAGAGAGGGACCAAAACCACAACAGAGCTTGATGAAAAGGACCGAATCTGCAACTTTTCAAAGGTTTGGACCTTGGCCACATAAAATGAGAAACCACAAGGACCATTTTTGCAATTTTGTCTAAAAGAAAAGTTTTGATGTTTTGTGTTGCAGCCCAACAGAAGCCGGTTATTGGGACATTGACTAGACTGTTCAACGAGACATCAGAGGCTTTAGGAGGTTCACGTGCAGTTCCAGCTAAGAAACGAGAGATTGATGACAACTCAAAGAAACTCGGTGCTTTGTTTGTGAAATTAAACAATTCTGATATTTCCAAAAATGCTGCTGAAAAACTTGTTCAGTTATGTCAAGCATTAAATCATGGTGACTTCTCTACAGCCCTCAAAGTCCAGGTATTACAATATTATTATTATCTCGCACTAAAAAATGTAAAAAGACATGAATGCCCTTCTGATTGTGTTGGCTGTTTTTGTTAGGTGGATCTTACCACCAGTGAATGGGACGAGTGTAGCTTCTGGTTAGCAACACTGAAACGAATGATCAGGATTAGACAAAGTATGGGATAAGCATAAGGCATAGTTCTTTTCAGGATGTGGATGTGTGGTGTTTTTATTTTTTTTTCTTAACTTTCTATAAATTAATTCGGATGGTTTTGAATTTAAAGAAGTTAGATTACAGGGTTTTGCCATAGGTATGGTTTTTGTTTGTGTATTGAAATAGATTTTCATTTTCTTGAGTAGCTAAAGGACATAATTTTGTTGAAAATTGAGAGCATAGTTTTTATAAAATACGTTTGGGTTGTATTTTGTATTAATTCTTATACTTTTAGCATCATGGTTTTTTGATGATTTCCTTGTATCTTGTAGGTTCCATTTGTTATGTAGGACACGATTTATAAATAGAATGACCTTCATTGAGTTTGACATGAATTTGATTGGATCGGACTCAATAAGACAGTTTACAGCTTTGTTCCACCCATAAATAAACGTGCATTCATGTCCAATGATCCTGAGGAAGGTTATAAGAGGTGTGAGAAAAGTTTGTGAAGTATTGCAAAGGTCTTTAAGGACGGACATCCAATTGCTCTTTGCATAGTATGGTATAAGCAACCATCCGATGACAAAAATGTAAAATTGGTCCTTGAAATATGGGTTAATGTAGGGGTGAGCACTTGGATCACATTGGACCACTATCTCGGAACAGATTCTTGGACTGGACCGGTTTAAGGTGAAAGTGTGGCCGGTGGACCGGACTTGTGTAGGCATACAAATACCGATTCTGGTTTTCCGGTTCTTGTATCAGTACAACATTAGTTGCTTATGGTATAAGTCGTTAAAGCAGTATATGAAAAGCCAAAAATCTTTTAGCTTTGATATTTTGATGTTGAGGCATTGTAACTCCTTGAGTATGTAACAAAAAAATGATGAAATTACAACCAAAACTCAAATACAAACTCTAAACTACATGTTGAAAAAGATTCATTGTTAGTCAAACTTCAAATGAATGAGATAATACATCTTTTAAAAGTTTTACAGATTACAATGTAATGAGGCTTTTAAAATTCTGGTCCAAACCAACTCGCCAGACCGAACTAGTAAAAAAAGTTGGACCGAATTTGCACTATAAAGGAATCGATAACCAGACTTATTTTTGTAAACTGGTACCGTTCGAGGTCTAAACGGTCACACCCCAATGTTATGTCATAAAATGACAACCAATGTTACACAATTGGCTCTTTAGGTCACTTATCTTTTAATTGTATTCAATATGTCACTAAACTTTTAATTGTATTTAGTAGGTCACTAAACGTTTTTATGTGTTCTCATTAGAGCATTAGAGTGCATTTTTAACCAAATAGTTTTGTAAAAGTTCAGGAGAGAAAAGATGGTTGCAGGTGGGAGGAGGTGACACATCTTTTTTTGGTAGAGAAGACAAAGTAATGGCGTATTTAGTGTGGTTGTTTAGATCTTTAGATGTTGCCCTCGCGTATGATAGTGTCGAGAACAGTAGTAAAGGAAACAACAAATGCATATCTACAAAGATCTAACTAAGATACATAAATCCATCTCTTTTCTTCATTATAAACTGAGTGGCGGGAATGACAGTGAAGCTGGTTTTGAAGAGAACATCTTATTTGAGGGTGGTGTTTAGATTTAGGGTGTTTTATGTTTATAGAGAAGGTGATGGGTGGTCATGGCGGTGATGATTCGCGACAGTGGTGGCGATGATGCTTCTGCCGGTAAAGGTTGTCACAGTGGTCGTGGGTGGTGGAGTAGGTGAGGGGGAGGCGGCGATTGTAGTTTGAAGCTAAGGTTTTTTTAGGGTTTTTCTACACACTGAGAGAAAATAGTTCAGACTAGGGATAAGAGTGGGTCCAAACCCGACCGGTAGACCCAAACCCAAAAAACCCGGGAACCGGTTAACGGGATTTTGTAGGCTGGAAACCGGACCGATATATAGGAACTGGTCCTGGTTCAGTTCCTGGTAAGGTACCGGGTAAAGTTGGTTTAGAACCGGAAAACCCGAAAACAATAATGAGGGTCGGGTGGAACCAGGTAAAGTGCGTATAGAACTGGAAAACTCGGGAAATCCGGAATTTTTTGGTAATCACTTAGTGGTTGAACTTTGAAAATTTTCAACTTTGATATCCCAACTTCGATCGACTGTAAGTCATTGAATATTAAACCAAAAACGACAAAATTATAGTCTAAAATCATGTACAAACTCTAAACTACACGTTGCAAGAAACCTCATGATAATCCGACTTCAAACGAGTTAGATATGCATTTTTAAAATGTCAAAAAATATAAAAATAACACTGAAAAACAGAAAATTTACAGCTTTGATATCCTGATTTTGGGGAACTGTAAGTCAATGAATATTAAACGAAAAATGACAAAATTATAGTATAAAATCATATACTAACTCTAGACTACACTTTGGATAAAACCGCATGCTATTCTCCGACTACAAACGAATTAGATATGCACGTTTTAAAACATTCACATAATACAAAAAAAAAAGAAAATTGAAAAACATAAAATGTCAAGCTTTGATATATTGACTTTTAGGGATTGTAAGTCAATGAATATTAACTCAAAAATGACAAAATTATATTCTAAAATTATGTACAAAGCATAAACTACATTCTGGAAAAAACCTCATACTAATCCGACTTCAAATAAATGAGATATGCATGTTTTAAACTTTTTATAAAAACCGATTCTGGTTCCTAACACGGTTCTGGTTCTTACACTCGGTTTACCCGGACCCGAAACCCGGATTACCCGGAATCCGGATAAAACCATTCTTTAAACCCGGGACCCAGACCGGTTCTACATATTCCGGTTCTAACGGTTCCGGTTCCTGTTCGGTTTTCCGGTTCTATATCTTATCCCTAGTTCAGACATAGAGAAACGTTATTTTGAGTATAAGATCCACTGAACCATTTTTTTTAATGGATAAATGTTTGGTTTTGATTGGTTTAAACTTATTTACAATGATAGCCCTCCAAATTAAATCTAAGGTTGATATCTTACCTCCTTGGTTTTAAGACTTTGGTCTTAAAAACTTTTGAACTCATTTTATATATCTCTATCTCCATCTCCATATTCTAATAAAAAAATAGGTTTATTCTCCGATTGACAAGTGTTATACTATTAGAACTCCTCATTAATATTATATATCACCTATCATGCCACTTGTCAACCTATTAATTATCCATTTCAAATTTCAAATTTCTCATTTTAATTACATTAAATTAATAATTGATTCTCCATTTTAAATTTCAATTTTAAAATTTTCTCATTCTAATTATATTAAATTAATAATATTATATTAAAAAATAAAATAAAATTAATACAGATTATAAGGTGATATAACTTCACGTATTTATTTAAATCAACGATTATAATTTATATAACTAAACACATCTTAAGTAATAATTTATTTAAAATAATTGATTAATAATTTTTGATTTTTTAATATGAAAGTTTAATTAATTTTATAATCGTGGTTCTTATGGGTTATAAACTAGTACATGAAACGGAGAAAAGATGTAAGATAAAGATAGATAAGATATATATCATATATATATATATATATAGATATAGATATATATATATATATATATATAGATTATAGATATAATATATATATCGATACCACACACCACACACACCATCCGCTTACCCGTGCCACGCGACGGGTGCGAATAATTTCTTTCAGAAATTTGTTTTTAGAGGTCATTGGTTTTTTTTGCGCAAATGAAACTGGGATGCGGTGGTGAGCGCTACAGTTTTTGTTCGTCGGTTGTGATGTTATGAAAGAAAGTGAGTAGCAAATGAGAAAGGGAGGGGCGTAGGAAAATTACGATGATGAATGGAGGGGATAGAATTGTGCATTCAATTGGTCATTATATAAGTAGAGGCACCTATATATATCTATATATATATATATATTCTATATATATATATATATCATATATATATATATATATAATATATATATATCTAGAGAGAGCGAGAGAGACGAAAGAGAGCTAGGTTCAAATGTTTTCAGCAATTATTGTATGCATCTATGGGACCAATGAGAATTTAAGAAAAAATAATCATTAATAATAAATATAAGGGTATAATAGTAATCTATACTATAATTAATTATGGTAAATTGATAAAATCAAATAATATCCCCCTTTAAATTAGGTTATCAGTTTTAAAACCTCACCCCCACCAGATTAGGGTTTTACGCTCCCTCTTCATCTCATACAGTACCCACACACACATAAGACGATCTGAAATCGAATTGCAGAAATGAATAGTATCCTCTTCAAAACTTCTTCCAAGAGACTCACTAATCTTGCTTCCATTACTACTTGCAACCCACTCAAACACCTTCTCGTTCCTTCATCCACACCACCCTCACCCGCAAATCGTAAAGAATCTCCTAGCCGGTCTCAAACTTCCCATCCAAAGTTTGGGTTTTTGAGGAGTTTTCATGGGTCACGATGGGCGAGTATCAGGGCTTCCGATGTGTCAACACAAGCTACGGGATTTGCGGTTGCCGCCGATCACACATACGACGGTGAAAGGGGTACGTCTTCTGATGGTCTCGAGATCTCTAAGCCTGGGATAAATCAAGAGATTGTCTCAGCTCTGGCGAAAAAGGGTATAACCAAGCTCTTCCCATTCAGGTAAATGAATATTCAGTACATGTTTTCTTTATCGTTTCTGTTTTTGTGTTTTAATGTTTACATATTGTTGTTCATCAAGTTTCGTGTTTGATTGCTACCTAGCTTTCATATGTCTAATTGAAATTACAAATGGTAGTTGGTGTTAGTTTCTGATTCTTTATCGAAGTACAAATTATCACTACAAATGGAAGTTGGTGTCAAAAGGTACAACCTTTAGGGGGCGTTTGGACCAGGAGACTTCAAAGTTATAATCTTTATAATGCTTTTTTCTTATTTTTTGTGAACAAAAAGTTCTTTAATTATATTCGGCTAATGTATACATACAGTTGAGTAGAGTCAAAACTATGCATTGTATATACATAAATCATATGAAATTTCATTTGATTTCTACTGAAAAACCAAACATGATCTTGAATTCTCAGAGGGCTGTGTTGGAGCCAACAATGTAGGGGCGTGACATGATTGGGCGTGCTAGAACTGGAACAAGAAAGATTCTTGCTAGAACTGGGTGATTTTTTTTTTAATAATCCGTTTTTTCAAAATATCGCTTTCATTGCATGTAGAATCTCTCGGCAAAAATTGCAGGAAATAGCAGCACATGTTACTCTTTTTACCAATACAAGCAAATGTGGTTTTTTACACCTGGTGCTTTCATAAATCATCATTTTTCACAACAAAAAACTTGTGAGCCGAAGATGGTTTATATA